TTTACTTTTTAAAGTATTCTGGTGTTTCATCTGAAAAGCTTTATATCTCCACAGAAGGCAGCTTGCTGAAATGATTCTTAAAAATATTGGTCTGACATTCAAATGTATCGCTTTCCACGAGAGCAGCTAATGCCACAGGGTCATACCCAATAAAAGATTTAGACACTCAAAGCTTGATGCTGCAACACCTGTTAGGTGGCTGCTGTCCTGCTAGATGCAGAGGGAAGATTAAATGTGTCAGAATGATATCGGAGCAGTCTGCAAGGAAAGTATAAAAGGTAGCAAGAAAAGGTAACATAAATATATTAGAAGAAATACAAAGAACGGGAAAAAAAAGAGGATCATTGCTTGCTGAGAATGTGGAGAAGGATGAAATACTCAGTGCTTTCTTTGTATCGGTCTTCATTGAGATGTTCAGAAGGACCATAAACTTATATCAACTTCAACAAAGAGGAATTAGCATAAATCAGAACAAGGAGAAAACTGCTTAAAGTATACTTAGATTCAAGTCAGCTGAATATGCTGATGTTCATGTATGCTCAGAGACTGAGAAAGTAATTTCTAGACTATTAGTAATTATGTCCAAGAAGTCACGGAGGACAAGAAAGTTAGTAGCAGACTAGAGAAAGGAAAGCATATTCCCTATTTTTAAAGTCAAATAATACATAAAAGTTCCTTTAACTTTCATTCTCACAAATAATCTGTGACAAATTAACAAAAAGTTGAAACAGTTCATAAACATAAATTGTGGAAAGCAAATATTGTCATATCAGTCTAATTTTCATTTCTTATTTCTGATTTTCTTTGTTATTTCATTGTAGAAAAAGGGGAAGGAGAATGTACGAAGTATCTGTTTTTCACCTTTTAACAGCACCTTGTATGAAATTCACAGAAAAAGGATGGGGAAATAGACTCTGTGTGGAATCACTGTAATGTGGTTACTGAAAATAATTCCCGTCAAAGGCTGCTCTGAATGGCTTGCTCCAGAATAGTAATTACAAGTGTGAAATTGCAAGTGTGGTTCTGAGCAGTCTAGGATGAAACTAGCTCAATTCAGTAATTTCATTAATAATTGGAGACCTATTGATAAGTAACAAAATAAAATTTGCTGTTGCCAGGATGGCATCATTCATAAAGGGTTTAGAAGGACTTTGAGGAACTGACTTAGATTTCAAAATGAAAATTTCATGCTAAAATAGTCAATCTGACAAAATTCACTGAGATGCACTGTGCTTGGTTTAGGGTGGAGAAATCAGATGGATGATGTAAAATGGGGTACAACTATCCAGACAATACTGCTGGGGATAATCTCGAAATCCAAGCTAACCATGAGTCGCAAATCTCAGGTGTTACAAAAAGGCAAAGGTCTCATTCTGGGAATATTGTTAATAATGTGCTTAATAATGTGCTCCCACATGGGAAGAATGTTTTCATTTTGATCTGTTCTGCCTACCCCCTACCTTAGTAATATCTCCAGTTTGGAGACTGTGGGCACACTTGGAAGGATCCAGAAGAGAAGTATAAAGAAATGTCATGTGTGCTGCTCCTGCAACTATTCATTTTACCTCTGGTCTCATACTTTCTCATGCAAATTTCAGAGAACCTAATTTTTACAGGTGTGTTTGTCTCCCCTCCTTCGGTCACATAACCAAGATGCTGGCCTTTTTTAAGTTTTCCCGTGTGATTTGCACATAAGATTTTATAATAAAAGGAACTATCAAATCAGCTACATGCTGCCTACAGAGAAAAAAATAGTTTAATCCACTGAAATACAGAGAAGGTTACATTAATACAAGATAGTTCCTATATATTGGCCAATGAGAATAGAGGAAAGGCAAACAGCAAGAGAAAAATGTGACATTAACTTAACCTTTTTACATATTAAAATGTATTAAAATCTTTTTCTGTCTGCTCCAGGGTGTAGAGGATTTTATTTGAAGGACTGTACATGCTCTGCACAGTTTCATCAGTACTCATTTTAAAGGATATTTATCAAGGAGTGTTAAAAACACCTCCTTCATCTGATCTAATCTGGCACTTCTCTCAAAACACACTAACAAGATAATTTTAAGTACCTTCTGCAAAACATCGTGTGTCCAAGCAGCATAATCAAAAAAAACCAAAGGTCTTTAAGCCTTTGGAAAATCTGGGTTTACTTTTATAGGATATTTACAAGGGGTTTATTGTTTCATATTTAGAAACCAGTTCTCCCAAAATGGTTGCATTTTGGCCGTATTTGGCCTGACTAGTATCCTTGTGAGGACGCTACAAATCCATCTTCTGCCTGTGTTACAGAAGTGGCAAGAGAGATTTTCCATTTTTGCTGTGAGTGTGTGCAGCAACTACATCCTACTAACTGCTCCAAAATGAGGTTGATGCAAAAACAGCCCTGCATGGCCAAACCTGGGGGAGGTCTCTCCATGACTCAGAGAGCAGCTGCCCTGTGTGTCACTGAGGCCTAGAGGTCATCAGAAATTTCTAAAACTGCGTACTACATAGTACAACCAAATGCATTCTTCCTAACAGAGAAAATTGGCTAAGGAAAAAATTTGCACTGCAAAAATAAGGCCTTTTTGCACAAAATAATCCTGACTTTTTTCCCCTACTGCTCATTCTGCAGTATTTACAAAGTGTGATAGCAAGGCTGAGAGGTTTTATTCAGATCAATGGCTTTTTAGTCAAGTAAAGTACTGGCATAGATTGCATACAGAATCCTGGGAGAGTTCTTAAAATAAGCTGCAACTCCTATTGACAAAGTATGAGTTCCCATTGAGAAATACTGCCATATTGCTTTTAGTGGCATTCTTTCTGTTTCTGAACAAAAGTGGGAACTAGATACCTTCTTGACATCCCTTTCAGTTTTCTTTGATGCTATAGTCTTGTTGACATATTATGCACATTTACTTGGTAAATACTATATTTCAAACTCAGGAAGGAAAGAAAGCCTCTGAAGGATTACACTTTTAGTTGACAGAAATACAATAACAGCAAAGAAACAGAAAACATTTCAATGTCCAAGGCCAGCAAAGAGCTCGTTTTGTCAAGACAGGCTTGTAAGAGGGAAAGGAAGTACCCATCATCTTGAAATCTGTATAGCCTCCTTAAAACCCTCTCTAGGAGGTACGCAGCATTGTTATTTTAGTGTAGTGGGTACGCACGGTGAGCAAACCATAGATGTGGACCAAGGCAGGTGTGATACTGCCAAGCAGATGTGCTCCTCTGGCACTGACAAGCGAGTTTGCTGAACCTGCTCAACTGAGACCCTCACACACCCCTCTTGGCCGCCTGTCATCTAGACCAACACCTCTACTAGCGCCAGGAGATCAGCCCTCCTTCTGGCCTTCCCTTAGGTCACCCCTCCCATGGGGCTGGGAGGCTTCTGCAACACAGCTGCAAAACATGAACTCCAAAGGCTGTGGTGCTGCTGATATGAGGATCACACATCACCTCACCATGTTGCTTGTTTAACTCTCTCACAAAATAAGTGGGTGGCTGTGGTATCGCAGCACCAAACAAGCTGTGCAGCTGCTGCTTCCTACATGTGCTGTTTGCCACACTGACCAGGCACAGCAGAAAGCAACCAGTCTCCTATTCATGGAGAAGGTTTCCAGCCAGCTCTTCTCATGGCGAGAAAATTAAAACCAAGACATCCCGACAGGAGGCAAAGCTGGGAGGGAGATTGGGGTGGATGGCAGACAGAGGCATCTATGACCCATTTTACAGCTGTAGAAATAGAGGCAGAAAAATAATAATGAAGCTAATTCTGACTGGAAAGCTGGCCAGGAGATGAGTGGAAGAAATCTGTAATCAGAGCCCTGGAGTCGGCCACTTTAACTAGACAGCTCAGCCAGGGGATTCTGTGGATCAATAGTGCAAAGCATGCTCTTGTAAGAACTCCAGTAAATCTGCTTGTCCTATGTCATAGCACTTTGCTTATTTGTTTGCTTCATAGAATCATAGAAACTTTTTTGTTGGAAAAGACCTCTAAGATCATCAGGTCCAACCATTATCCTAGCACTACCAAGCCCACCACTAAACCGTGACTCTAAGCACCACATCTACACTTTTTTTCAACACATTCAATGATGGTGACTCCACCACCTCCCTGGGCAGCCTGTTCCAATGCCCAAACATCCTTTTGGTGAAGAAATTTTTCCTAATATCCAATCTAAATCTCCCCTGGTGCAACTTGAGGCCATTTCCTCTTGTCTTGTCCTTAGTTACTTGGGAGAAGAGACCAACACCAGCCTCGCTACAGCTTCCCTTTAGGTAGCTGTAGAGAGCAATAAGGTCTCCTCTCAGCCTCCCCTTCACTAGGCTTAAAAACCCCAGTTCCCTCAGGTGCTTCTCATAAGACATATTTTCCAGACCCCCCACCATCTTCATCACCCTTCTCTGTACCCGCTCCAGCACCTCAATGTCTTTGCTATACTGAGGTGCCCAAAACTGCACACAGTACTCAAGGTGTGGTCCCACCAGTGCCGAGTACAGGGACACAATCACTTCCCTACTCCTTCATAACAACTGTTAATTTGGTATCAAAATTTACTATGAAGATTTGGATATTCAAATGATGGATCTTGTGCTGGTGCTTTGAACCTCTCTTTTCTCTATGAAAACAGCAAAGCTAAAGGTAGCAAAGGTCTTCTCAGGCCCACACAGCACTGCAAGTTAAGGTGTAGGACAGATAATGTTTCCAGTGATTCCAACATATCCAGCAATTCAAAAAAAACCCTCTTACATGTAGAAGACGTGAGGCAAGATACAAATGTATTATACTGATTTTAGCAGAAGACGAGCAGCATTTGATATACGACATTCAGAATCCAGTTTGGAGGTTATTTAATCTGCCAGTAATATCCCTCAGACAGACAGGAACAAATTTACCTTGATGTGTCTGTCTGTCATTCAAGTAACCTGTGATCCACTGAATTTGTCTCTTTCTGAAACGCTCATTTTACTGCAATTCTCTCTGACTCAATATTCTTCTTACCTGACAGGTAGGAGATCAAATAATTGAAATCAATGGAGAAAGCACAAGGGACATGACACATGCCAGAGCAATAGAGCTAATCAAGTCTGGAGGCAGGAGAGTGCGACTGTTGTTGAAACGTGGAACAGGCCAGGTCCCAGAATATGGTGGGTTTTCATCTTTACATTTTTCTGTGTGCATGAACCTATATAAATTAATGATATTGCTTTTGAGTTAAGTAGCAATTGCAGATATTTATATATTGTAATGTCCCGGGACACAGTAAGCATGGATCTAAGTGCTTACCTGAGTAGAGGTGGACTTATTACATGTTTAAGTGTTTCCTTGGCTCAGGATTATATATGTGTGTACATCATTGTTGTCTGCTGCCCTCCTAACACAGACAGTGGCTTATAAGATGTGCATTGGAGGAAGCACCTTGAGGACATCTCTGAGTGTGCTGGGAGTTGCTGATTTGTCCATAAACTGTCTTTTTCTTCCTCTATTGGTATTTCTCTGCACATTTTCAACCACAGCAGATGATCTTGTTGCCATGCAATTGAGTGGCTCAGGTTTAAACTCAAAGCATTAACATGAATGTACTTCTTTCTTTGACAACCTCACCCAGAGATAACTGACAATACACACAGATGATCAAGTAGAAGCCAGCTCTGAATAAAAAAGGAGACTTTGCTCATTGTGATGAGAAAGCGGGATCCATTCTTCTCATGTTTTGTTTCAGTGGGACTTCTGGGATTTTTTCAAGTATTTCAAAAGTGTGAGTCATTTAGACAATATAGAAACCTTATTTCACTACTGAAATGACAAGAAGTAAAAATAAATTAGCCAAAGGTAAATCCAAAGACAAAAGGCTCTTTTCTAAAATTGAAATCAGGGCTTACTCTAAAGTATGGTATGAAAATGTCATATATTTACGTAAGTTCTGGAAAGGGATTTTTTAATGAAAATTCCTTGATTTCTTTATGCTAGGAGGTCCAAAACTCTATTAAATTTTTCTAATGTTATTTTTGAAGTTCCAGCATCATTTCCCACTAGAATCAGAAATTGCAGTAGCATATGAAAATTCAAAGTAATGCTTAGGCTTAACTGTAGGTTCAGGTCAGTCTTTGTTACCAACGCATACATTTATCTCTTCTGTTGGAGACATTAAAGTCAATTCCGCAGAAAGTCAGCGCTTTGCCAGCTGTCAGTATACATGGTAACTGCACTATTTTCTTCTCTAAACTAAAGCAAATTCTGTGGCTGAGGCAATACTCAAAATAGTGTATGCTGCATTTTTTCCAGCTTTCAAGAGCTTCTGAGTAAGGGAAGCAAGGATGGGCCATGGCCCACTCATCTGGTGATAAAGTTAGTGAGTTACACTTTTGGTGAGCAGGAACAAAGCCAAAATGCCTTTCAGGGATTATGATAAATTTGGACTAAGACATTTAATATCAGTTTTAACCAGTGTATAATCCTTTCAGAGAGACCTCCAACGGAGATTCAGATCACCTCCAAAACTCTTTTGTAGGGAGAGGTGCATAAATTTTAAACAAAGAACAAACAAATGTCCAGGATTAACATGGCAGTAGTAATCCTTCTCAAACAGCAGAACCGTGTACAAGCAGTTCTCTAGTTTCTCAGAAAACAATTTGATCTGAGGGGGGGGGTCACTGGAGACTGCTATGAACAAAGAATTGATTGCAGTTCAGACTCACTCCAAATCTGACTGTCTTAAGATCCCAACCCTGGATGGCCCTTAAACCTAGGTTTACAGGAGATCCAAAATAAATTTCTATGTTTATATAATCTTACAAATCTGTTCATTATCCCAGAATCATAAGAAAAATTAAATAGGTGTAAAAAAAGTTCAGTGTAAATAACATTGTTTTGGGAAAACAAATCTCCCTAAAGGTGTAAATCTGCACAAGCCTTCCCTTCTTCAGAAGAACATGAGCAAAAAATACAGGTAAACCACTACAAATCCAGGCACAGTTTATAGTGCTAACAGAAAGAAACAAGATGACTTCACAGGACTATTTAAAGCCATGCTTGCCATTCAGAAAGGCATTTGGAATGCCTAGCATTAGTTGTGTAAAAAATAAAGGTTTCTGCAAAATAAAAGTTGCTACAAAGAAGTGCTGTTTAATCAGATCGTTTCCCTACCTGCATCCCCAGCTTACAGCTCCATACAGGAGGAGAACTAAGTAGCTGTGCTTAAAAGCCGTGTTGTCCTATGGCACTGAAAAAGCAGTAAAAGTGTTCAGGAATTACCTTATAACATACACGCAATCTACAGAAAGCATTACAGCAAAAGATAACATTCACATGTCTGCAGTTCTTAATATGTGCATTACACAGGCAGGGAAATGTTAGTGCTGTGTCCAGTCTGCAGGCAAAATGGAAGCAAAGATAAGAAGATGCCTGTTGAAATCAACTGAGATATTAAAGTCCTCCCTAGGTCATCTCCCAAAGCAATGCAAAATACTCTAAGAACAAACAGAAGGTGCACATAAAAACCAACAGCAGCCTCCTTAGAAAGTTAAAAACAGAAATTAACAACCAGGAACAATTAAAACAGGAGTGCATGTCTCAAGAAGGCCAGATCTCAAGGGTAAGTCATCATGCTGCAAAGAACGTCTGTCAGGATATTAATGACAGCACACACACACACACACACCCCCAAGAAAGAACGTCCTTTCTATATAATGGAAAACTGAACACACAGAAGATTGTGATAGTAAGCTCGAGGACAAAGTGGTCCTGAGGACAGCAGATAACCTAGTCAATATTTAGTAGTTCTGTCTTCTTCCCGCTAGAATTGCACAACTGAGATATAACAAGACTAATTGGAGCTTTTTTAATTGAAATAATCAGCCCTTTTTTTTTTTTTTTAGAATGTACATTTCAGAAATATGTCCTGTACTCATTAGGGTCCAGCTCTGAAGACCATCAGTGGGAAATAAGACTTAGTTGAGTATAAAAATGCAAGGCTGGAGGACTGAGCTGGTATCTGGATTGCAATGGTGGTGTGCAGCAGAAGCCTAGGGACAAATATAGAAGCAGAGCAATTGTACCAGGGTCCTCTCCTGGATGTTCTCTCTCAGTCTCTGACAAGTGAAATGGTCAGGGACTTCCCAAGTCAGTTGTAGTAACGCTGTGTTTAAAGACCTTTCCAACAGCAGTGGCATTCAGACTCACAGCATTAAAAAGAAGGAAGCTCACCTATAACAACCTAAACCAAACAGTCAAAAATCCTCATGTTATTGCCTCTCAGTATCCAGCTTTTTAATTTTCCTTGTGCAATATAACCAATGCTTTTTAAATTCCAGAGCTATGATTCTGTTAGTATAAAATATGGTGGTATATATTTAAGTGCAAGAAACGTCAGTGTCTGAATGATGATGTGATCGACATCAGTTAAAACCAGTGTTAAGGAAAAAACATCAATGGTGAGAAAGTGATCTGTGAAAGAAAAGACTGTGGATCAAAAAGAAGAAAGCACTTAGTGAAGAAACAAAGAACAAGTTGCTGAGAGGATGCAAATCTCCTGAGTTATGTCAGTTTATGCTGCCTGGAAATCTGTACCTACAAGTGCATCTCAGAAAAATCTGGCTGAGCTGAAGCACTATTCAAACCTAAGGGAAGAAATAATGTGTGTTGCAAATGCATCATTTACCTCAACTCCAGCTGCTGATTTTGCTTGAAAACAAAATGCCAAAGATCCCAGAGCACTTCAGAGGGAGAAATCCCCTTTGCAGCATGCATGGTAGCGTCAGAATGTATGGGAAGGAGCATGGATATGATTAATGATCCAAAATGATAGTTGGTTTCACAGCAGGGTGCCAGAAAAGAAGCTTAGAAAACAGATGTTTTATCATCCAGCATCTCAGAACATGTTTGCTGAGGATAAGGATAGCCTGAGGAACTGTGCTTCCACTGAAGGTGAATTATCACAGCTCATCCAAAGCCGAAGAACATCAGCATCGTGTTTCATAGGAAACAGTCTGCCAGCCAGTTCTTCTTCAAAGAACCAAGTCATAGAAAGAAATCATATTAACTGTTCAAGAAAGACTAGAGGTATTGCTGGGAATCCTGATCCCAAAATGTACTTAATGCCCATGGAGTCTGGCTGGAGGGAGTGGGAGGTTTCATACATGTCACAGGACACAAAATTCTGTCATCACAGTAGCACTGAGAACTTCTCAGACCGGCATTAAGTACAACTTGAACAAAATGACAGACCAAGATTTTTCTTGCAATGGCTACGTAATTCCCTGT